TTTGGCATAAAAGAAAAATCTATCATTTTGACCCATACAATGTATTTTTGGCTATTGCTACAAATATACCCAAGTGTCACGGAACCGGGTGTGTGGAGGCAGGCAGGACGACGAGGACGACAAGGATTCCAATAATGACATTTATTGTAGACACAACAAGGCAGGTTCAGGTAGGTGAGACACACACTCAGGGCAACATTCACAATAACCGACACCAATGTTCAGACAGACAGGAACTAATAAGTAGTGTTGGGTCGTTCTTGAACGATTCGTTCATTTCTTTAATGTGACTCGGGAAGAACGAGTCGTCTCGGGGAGTGATTCCGAACTTCCCATCACTACTAATAAGGGGTGAATAATTAGAGGCGGACAGGTGAGCACAATGACGGTGATTAACTAATGATTAGACGGGCTAAACCAACACAAAGGGAAGAAACCACAACAAACAGTCCACAGGGGCGTTACACATGGGTTATTGTGGTAATAATGAATGTATATATTTAGTAAATTCTGTTCAGGTCCTGGAATCTGAATAGCTGAGAATCTTTCAGGAGTGATATTTCACCAGAATTAGTATACTAATCAGTATACTAATAGTCTTAATTAGTCAGTAATCAGTCTTAACTGAAAATGAACAATCAGGAGTATGTATGTATGTATGTATGTATTTATTTGTTCTTGTTTAACAGATTAATGTGCGTGTGACTACTATGGATGCAGAGCTGGAATTTGCCATCCAACCCAACACAACTGGCAAACAGCTCTTTGACCAGGTAAGTGTCTACATTTAAATTGTTTTGAGTATAATACTAATTTACTGTTTTGAATATAATACTAATTTACCAGCCAGAGGCCTGTTTCACAAAAAAAGTTTAAGTGAACATTTTTCTGAGCAGTACTATTTTTAAATGGTAGTTTCTATATAACATCTGGGATGCAGAACACATTAGAAAGGCCGCTGTATGCAGAGCGGTAAGGAAAGTGTGCCTCACTCTCACGCTCTTCATTATAATTTTTGTGTAGTTTCCTGAGCACAAACCCATCGAAAATTAAGCTGATTGATTACTGTATGGAATGGAAGGTTGCCATATGGTATATGCCGTAACCATCACCACAGCTGTTACATTTTTTTGGTCAGCTTTATTTTCTACAAATACAAAAGCAACATTTCCTGTTGGATTTTAAAATTCTTCCAATACTTGGTATTGTGGCCATCCTCTTTATCTGTTCTTCATTATTTTGCAAGCCTTCTTGCTGTTGGCTAAGTAGAAGTCAAATGTTAATTTCATTACTCTGATTAAGAAATGCAACAGTTTGGATTAGAGAACATTTAATTATGTGAAAAGAGCATTAGACTATGTGGGAAAAGCTGCTGCACATTGAAATAGACACTGAATGATATTAAGTCATGTAGTCTACACCCATGAAACTTTTATGCTTAAAGCTTTACCTGATTGAATAATGTTTTTATACTTAATGTTTAGCTGCTTTTTTTGTCTTTTTTTTTTTTGCCTGTGGGATACCTTGAAAATTAATATTAGTTCAAAAACTTACCGTTCTGCCAGTTTTTACCTTTGATATTATAACAGTGATTAAGAATTAAACTCGGGAGTATGTGGACGTCTTTTTGTCGGGTACTGTTGTCATGGTGAATCATAATTCATAAGCTCCATTGATCATGGGTTTTCATAGTCGCTAAACTCAGTCAACCTACTCAGAGTTGGTTGAACCTCCTTGTTGAAATGGGCCCCAGGTCCTTGCTTTGTGTTCCTCAAATATTTTGATTGCAAAAGTGTCTCTATTTTGCATATTTCAGAAATGTCATTGTTCTCTGTTGCTCTTGAGAAGAGGCCCATTAGATAGCTTGCAAGTCAGGCGTTAGATTTCTGTCACAAATCTAGGCTAGTCTTTTGAACTGTGCTACACAAACCGGCTTTTTCACAATATTGGAAATTGCATCACAGCAGTGTAAAGTCAGTTCTGCTACAGTTCTGTGTTTATTATATTAGTAAACTATTTTCTCAAGTAGCATTAACAACCGCTTCTTTGTAACTTATTAGGCCACTCATACCGCTGACTTTTGAGATCTTTTGCTTAAATGTTCAACCAGGTGGTCTGTGTTAACAAGCTCCCTGGTCATTTACTGAAATACAGGTGCATCTCAATAAATTAGAATGTCGTGGAAAAGTTCATTTATTTCAGTAATTCAACTCAAATTGTGAAACTCGTGTATTAAATAAATTCAATGCACACAGACTGAAGTAGTTTAAGTCTTTGGTTC